GGAAGTCACAGAATATCTGAGAGATTTTTCTTCAATATTCTTCTATGTCCATGTGATTGTCCCACAAGATGACAAAGCACTTTATGGGGATGAGTCTGCATCTCTACTTCTTTTGTTTCTTCTCCAGGGACCTTCAACCTGGCATCTAAGGTAATACTGGGAATGATTTTTGAATTAAGTTGAACTGAGCCTCAAACTTGACGAGTTCCCCTGGATTTCAGCCTTCAGTGACATCAGCAGTTATGATGACTCATTTGCTCTTCCAAACTTTGATATTTCTCAGCGTTGTGAGAAGTGAAAAAAACAATGCATTTGGACCCCTAGTAATTTCCTTTACTCTCTCCTCCAATCACCCACAATTTTTTTTAAAGCTTTGCTCTGTTTTATATTAACAGCTTAGCAAATACTTTTAACATTTTAAAAGTATTTTTAAAATACTTTTGCACAAAGCAAAGTTTTCCCATCCAAGTGATCACAAAATCTCAGTGAGTGAGATCAAACTTCAGTAGAGTTCTAGATTTTAAAAACTATTTAGATCTTTAACTTTGGGTGCCCCGTTTGTCTTTGCTTTAGTTGCAAGTTAACATATGCCCAGGGAAAAGCAGAGATTCCTTTCATAAAAAGAAAACATAGAGCTGCCAGTGAAAGAGATTAATCGCTTCCTTCTCGGTGATCAATTATTTAAAACATGCCCTACTCAGGGCCCCTCGGATTCTTGCTGCTGTGCCATCGCTAAGGCGCGGCTACCAACAGCCGCAGCCGCCTTGCAGACGGCAAGGTCCTGAATTCACTCACTGAACACTATTAACTAGTTAGGTAGGAATATGTACATCTAGGCGATCTGATGTCAAAGTTGTGAAATCAGTAACAGGCACATTTTAAAACCTTACATCTTGAAGGAACAATAATAGGAGCTGCCTGTGTTGTAAAAACACCAGGGAAAGGAGGGGAACAGTACGGAGGCGCCGAAGGCGTGGAAACAGAGCAGGAGTCCCGGGGCGCCAACAGGGCTCGGTGGCAACGATCTCGTCAGCCTCCTAAGGACGGCATTGACATTTTACGTCGCAACTAATCCATGTCAGTGACATTCCATCTGCCTGTCAACTAGTTCATCTTGCCCCAAATTTAGGAAAACAGGCAATACTTAAAACTCTGCCCATAGGCGGGCTTGGGAGTCAAATGCGACAGACATGCCCTCGTCTGTATCAGCAGAAGGGACACCTCCGCTGGGCTGCTGCTCCCATCTGGGCTTTAGTCAGTTCTCGCCATCAAGAGAGGGAGGAACGTTAAGCAACCGTGATCAATGCTTTCAATTTAGTTTTGAGCAATACGAGAATTTTAACTGGGGGCCTGGAACCTTAGGTGGTTCCTTTCTCCTCTGTCCTAGAGCAAGCCTGGTTTTCTGGCCTGGCACCCTCCCTGCCAGCTGGGTAGCCCATCACAGGACAAAAGGAGTCCCTCTGAGCTTGCTCCAGGGAAGTGGAGGCCTGCACGGCTGGGCCCCGGGTTACACCTGCTGGTTTCTGGTCATAAGGGCCGTGTGGCTCTACAAGTGCNTCTGAGCTTGCTCCAAGGAAGTGGAGGCCCTGCATGACTGGGCCCCGGGTTACACCTGCTGGTTTCTGGTCATAAGGGCCGTGTGGCTCTACAAGTGCTACTTGACCCACAGCCAGGTCAACACCCTGCTCCACCTGCCTGGGTGGGCACCACCCCTGCCTCCTCCCAGCCCCATGCGCTGGAGCTGGGGTGACACAGACGCTGGGTGGGGAACTCTGAAACATTCGCTGGCGGACTGGCACCGTGACTACCCAGTACTTCCCATCCTCTAACCCCATCCTCTACTCCAGCTCAATTTGAAAAGAGTTTGATTTCATCCGAGATGTTATTCTATTTATTTCCTCAAACCCTTGCTTTGTAGAAAATCCAAAGGTAGACTTTGACATAGTGTCTTCCCAAACCACCAAAAAGTTCCACTGCAGCGTTGGGTCTCATCGAATCAGTCTTTGCTCTGAAACCCAGAGCCGTATGTTTGGAAGCATCAGGCACTGAAGCTTAGAAGAACTGCTCACTGTCGCCCGGAGCCCAAAATAGCTGAACAGAGACTCGTAAACAATAACGTGAGGGGGCAGCTTCCCACCAGAAATAACTATTTGCTAATGTATCATCCTGGAAGCAAACAGTAACTAACCCTCAAAAAACATATTGAGATAGCTTTTCACATTAACTTCTAAATGCCCATAAAAACCAGTGCTCATTTCTGGGAAAGAAGATACCTAGAAGTCCAACCAGATGGCAAAAATGGGCGCTCAAAGCAAGGGCTGTATTTAATTCAGAGTTTGAATTTACAATAATAAGTAGAGAGAACTGGCTGGAGGGGAATCCTTTTGTCACCTCTTTTATTAATAAAACCTTTGACTGTTTACTAAGTTTGTTTTTAACACTACTAAAACTTCATGTGCAAACAGCATTAATTATAACCAGCTAAAATAACAAAGATATCACCTAGAATAATATCTCTCAATGTAACCTTTTTTTTGCCTTCTAAGATTTGCCCGCAACACAGACGCAGGTATTCAAGCCTTCCACGCCAGCACAGATGACTTCAGCCATCAGAAGTGCCAGGCGCGAGTGCGCAGGGAGCACTGAGCGCCTGGCCATGCTTCATAGGACCTTGTTCACCCCACGTAAACTTATCTCAAACTAGGCCACACGTTTGAATTTTGGGCCCATAGGTAATTTTTTTTTTTAATTGTCACCTGAGGATATTTTTTTCCATTGATTTTCAGAGAGAATGGGAGGGAGGGAAGAAAGAGGGGAAGAGAGGGAGAGAGAGAAAAACATCGATGTGGAAACATCAATGTGAGAGAGAGACATTGATTGGTTGCCTCTCGCTCATGCCAGACCAGGGCCGGGCTGAAACCTCCAACCGAGGCACGTGCTCTTGACTGGGGATTGAACCGGAGACCCTTCCGGTCTCCAGGCCAA